CCCCTCCCACTTTAACTGGCCCCAGCCTGGGTGCTGGTCCCTGACTGGGACCGTGGTACCTGCTCCGGGGTGGCAGGGATGCAGGGATGCCTGGAGCTCTGGATGCTGAGGAGGGAGGGAAGGAGGGAAAGAAGGAGGGACGGAGGGATGGAGGGAGGCGGATCCTGGCTCCCACTGCGGCAAGACCCGGCCCTCGCCCGGGCAGCGATGCCAGACCGAGCTGGGGTCTGGGGTCCCCAGCCTGGAGCCCCAGCCTGCCCTCGCCCAGGCGGGGGGCAGGGGATGCATGGCTGCCCGCTGCCTCCTCCTCAACACCATGAAGCAGATCTGCCTCTGTGCCGCTGCCTCCTTTGCGGTACGTCCCTGTCCTCCATCTCCGGTCCCCTTTGGTCCCATCCTCCAGGGTAAGCCATGTCCCTCCCACCCCACCTGGACCCCCTCCATCCCCATCCCTGTCCCGGGGCTCCGCTGCGTCCTCTCCAACCTGCTTTGTCCTTGCATGACAAGCAGTGGGAGGGGGGAACGGGCACCACCCTCCCAGTTTGCCCAGTAACCCTGGGAGACTGGTTTATTCCCCAGAGAGGGTCCCCTGGCCCCGCGGGGCTGGAGGGGCTGGCAGGGGCACCAAGCGGGTGCAGCGGCATGGCCCCATGCCTGGCAGTGGGCACCAGGCTAGCGAGGGGCGGGATGCAAGCAGCTCCCGAAAGGTGACATCCATTTCCTGCTGCCGTGACCGCAGCGAGCTCTGGTTTGTCGTCACGGGCTGCAGGGTGAACCCAGGGCTTCCCGTGCTGGTCCTGTCCTGCTGTGGGTCCCTCCCTCAGGATGGGGACGTGCAGGACCACTGGGTCAGCAAGCCCCCATCCAGTCCCAATCTTGCGCAGGATTGTGCCCCGTGTATCCCCGGGGACATGCTCTCGCTGCCAGCTGTGCTCACGCTGACTTTGTCCCTTCCTTGTCGGGGAGCACAGCAGGGCTGGGAACAGGCTCAGTGGGGAGACCTGGGCAGGGATGGGGCTCAGGCACCTCGTGGGTGCTGGCTGTATTTAGCATTGGGGTCACTGGGGTGGCAGGGGCAAACCCTGGGGCAGGGGCAACCGGGCAGTGTCGGCTCACTCCCAAATCCTAGCTGGTCACAGCCTGGCCCATCGACAGCTAAACTGGGGCAGCTCTGTAAATCTCCTGGTCTGTGAGCTGCAGACTGGGTGGGGGCTGAAGGGGATCCTCATCCCAGTCAGCTGTCCCAGCTAAACCCTCCACACCTGGGGGCCAGACACCACAGCACCCAGGAAAGGGGTTGGCCCAGAGATGGCCACGCCAAGGGGATAGGGATGGGTGGAAGACAGCAGGGATGGGGATGAGGACAGGCACCCGAGCCCAGCCCAGCACCCTGCCCGTCTCTGGGGACGGCACACCCATCACAGCCTCCTCTTGGCTTCATTGCAGAGCCAGGACTGGACTAAGAATGATGAGAAACTCCTGCAAGCTGTGGACTACAACGATGCCGGGAGGGTGACATCTCTTCTCGTCCGCAAGGGCCTGGTCCCCACCAAGCTGGACTCGGAGGGCAAATCTGCGTAAGTGCTGACCCACGTCCCCAGGACACCGGGGACGCAGGGCTGGGGGCCAGGGCTGTGAGTCCGACAGCCCCCGGTCTCGCTGCAGGTTCCACCTGGCCGCCATGCGGGGGAACGTGGACTGCCTGGAAGCCATGCTGGCTCATGGTGTGGATGCCATGACGAAGGACAGCTCAGGTGAGGGCATGGCCACCACGTGCCCCCGGCTGATGCCATGGACCGGCCGGGGCCACCAACACTCCCTGGTTGTTCCCACCCTGCCGCGGGTGTTGAGGCTGAGGGGACAGAGGTGACGGCCACACCTGTGGGGGCTGTAAATTGTCCCAGCTTCCTACAGGGACTCAACCACTGACCGATGGTGCTCCTGGGGATGTCCCATTCCCATTCAGCCCCAGTCCAGCAGATCCTCCTGTGTGCCCATCCATCCGTCTGTCACCCAACCGGTCCCCTCTGCCACAGACCCATTGTCTGTTCTCTGACCCGTCTGTCTGTCCCTCTCCCCAGGTTACACTGCCCTGCACCTGGCATCCAAGCATGGCCATCCACAGTGCGTCAGCAAGCTGTTGCAGGTACTGGGACTGGGAGCACAGTGCTGCGAGGGAGGGAGGGTGCTGTGCCAGCCAAGTGTCCTCTCTGTCCTTGAACTCCCTTCCCTCACCAGTGGTGTTGGTTGGCATGGTGGTTCCCGGCTCTGCCTGGTGCTGTGTGGTGCTGCCTGGCACCTGCTCAGTCCTCCACCATGCCAAGGAGCCACGTCCACTCCAGCAGTCTGTCTGTCTGTCCCCTGTCCTCCTGTAACCCAGGCTCTCTCCCTCAGGCTTCCTGCCCTGTGGACGTGGCCGACGGCAGTGGCCGAACAGCGCTGCACCACGCAGGTGAGTGGGGACAGTGCCAGCCCAGCCCTGCTCACGTCCCCGTGGGAGGCACAGTGCTCAGCCTCTGTCCTTCTCCCCAGCGGTCAGCGGCTGCATCTCATGCTTGGAGATCCTCTGTGATTTCAAGGCTCCCTTGAACATCAAGGACAAGGTGAGATCCCTCTGCTCCTTGCCCCGCCACGCTGTGCAGAGCAGCAAGGGGCCAGGCTGGCGCTGCCTCTGAAATGCAGCAGCTTCTGGGGTGGAACGCAGCAGCGGGCAGTACCTGGGGTCCCTGGGGTGAAAACACACCATGAAGTGGGACGTGGAAATCCGGGAGATGACGGGAGTGGGGTGCCCCATGGGGAGATCTGAGCCTCGTCTGCGCAGCCTCACCCAACCTGACCCTGCCCAGGATGGCTCCACGCCGCTGATCCTTGCTGCCAAGATGAGCCACTCAGAGCTGTGCCGGTACCTGCTGCACCGCGGTGCGGCTGTCAACAGCCGGGACCTGCAGGGGAGGTGAGTCTGTACTGGTGGGGACTGGGGGCGGACGGGGAGACAGAGGGAATGGCCCCCCTCACCTCTCCTCTCCCCACTCTGCTCAGGACAGCCTTGATGCTGGCCTGCGAGAACGGCAGCGTGGAGACGGTGGAGGTGCTCGTCAGCGCCGGTGCCCGGGTGGCCGTGGTGGACTCCACAGGTCACGATGCTGCGCACTACAGCCTGGCCACGGGCAACGCTCTCATCCAGCACTTCCTGCAAGAGGCTGCTCAGCGCCGGTCCTGGGCCAGCGGTAAGGCAGCCGCGCCGCCCTGGTGCTCCTTGTCCACAGGGCAGGGACCCACGAGGGTGTTGTCACCCTGCAGGGTGCTTTGGGGCAGGGCTGTCTAACCCGTGGCTGGAAGAGGCCGAGCAAGGTTGGGGGGACGTGCCCCCTTTGCCCACGCGCTGTGGGTGCCTTCGCCTATGCTGTCACCAACCGAGGGCTGGGAGGTGGTGCTGAGCCTCGGTTGCCCATCTCAGTGTCTGAACACGTTGCACGCACATGTTCACACGTGTTTGCAAGCATGGGGGTGTAAATGCACGTGTGTATCAGCAAGCGTGTTTGTACACGTCTGTGTGGGCGTGTCTCCCCATGTCTGCACACGTGTGTGCATCCCTGCAATTACACATCCACGTATATCCCATATTTGTCTGTCTGCGTGTCTACGCACACGTGCCCCCCTGCGTACACATGTGTGTGTGTGTGTGTGCCCCCTGAGTGCCCACCCCTGTACGAGCACATTCAGAGGTTCCCCTGCAGCCGCGTGGGCTCTGCCTGCTGTGCCCACCCCTACGATCTCCTAAACTTCCCCAATTTCTCTTTCCTTCTGCTCTGCCCCGCAGAAGAGGAGTCGACTGAGCAGACGTCCCAGGTAAGGGCCTGCCTGGCTGCCCACCTCTTACCGGGGCTGGCCCCAGCCCCTGCGTGGGGGTCGGCAGGAGCCCTGGGGATCTCCAAGGTGGCGACGGGTCAGGAAGGAGGGAGGCCACTTTAGATGTGATGTCCCTTCTGCCCTGGTGTCTCCGCAGACGTCTTCGCCCAGCCAGTCGTCCGTCAGGGAGAAGAACAGCACCCCAAGGAAGAGGAAAGCCCCTCTGCCTCCCCTGGGCACCCCCGGCCAGGTGAGGGAGGGGTCCCCCTTAGCTCCACGGCTGCACCCAGCTTGGCAGGCGCAGGGTAGCCGAACTGTGGCCTGCTCAGGCAAACTTCTCCAGCTTTGCCCGCCCCGGGGGCTGTGCAGGGGCCCTCCTCCCTGCAGTGGAGGCAATGCTCAAGGGCTGGCCTGAGCTGCAACAAAGGCTTCGTCCCCACTCCTGGGGTGCATGCAGCACCCCACGCCCTGAGCCCCTGCTGTCGGCAGGGCAGGGGCTATCGGCCCCTTTCTCTCCATGCCACGGGTCCAAAACACCCCTCGCCCAGGGGGCTGTGCTGGTGTTGGGGGGGTCATGTCCTGCCAGAGCCTTCCCTTCCCTCTCCGGTGTCAAAAAGCACCCTGCACACCCTGAAGCGTGGCTCACTGATGGGGGCACGTGGTGGCTGAGAGCCACCACTGAGCCTGGCTGGGCTCAGCCTGCCGCAGCCCCCCTGGTGAGGATGGGCAGGAGGGGGCCGACAGTGGGGAGGGGGCTGGCAGTGCCCGGCACTGAGGCTTGGCAGGTGGCTGCTCATCTGCAGGAGGACCGGGACGCTTACGAGGAGATTGTACGGCTGCGGCAGGAGCGGGCCCAGTTCTTGCAGAAGATCCGGGGCTTGGAGCAGCAGGAGAAGAAGAGACGGGAGGTACCAGCGAGCCACAGAGTCGTGGGGGAGATGCCACCATGTCCCTAGGGAGAAGAGGGGATGGGAGGGATGGAGAAGGCGTTTATCCCTCCCTGTTTTCTCTCTGTGTCCTGCTAGCAGGCAGAGCTGGATGAGGGCTCCCGGCGCTCCATGGAGAAGCAGGTGAGGCTGGCAAAGAGGTCATGGGTGGCCTCAGCTCTCTGAGGGGTCCTGGTGCTGGGGATGCCATCGGCACTCTGGTGGGAGCGAAGGGGACCCCATGCCCGTGTCCTGCTCCACAGATCCAGGAGCTGGAGGAGCGGCTGGCGGAGCGGGATGGTGAGAAGGAGCGGCTGGGCAAGGAGGTGGAGGCTCTCTGGAGCCGCTTGTCCTCGCTGGAGGTAGGTGCAGGTAGCAGCTGGCGGACAGGGGCTGGGGTGCGGGGGGGCTGCCCCCTGCCACTCTGCACCCCCAGAATGAGAAGGAGAACACAAGCTATGACATCGAGACACTGCAGGACGAGGAGGGAGACGCACTGGAGTTCCCAGGTAGGGCCCTGCCTGCCTCCCAAGGCCCCTGTGGGGCTGGACATCCCTCGGGGAGGTGGCACCCCGTGGCAGGGAGCGGGGACATGGGTGCGCATGGCACTGGAGTCCCTACATCCCACAGGGGCAGAGCTGCTGCTCTCCAAGAAGACGCTGAGCCCCTCAGCCGAGGAGCTGCTGGCCACGCTGCAGGGGCAGGTGCAGTCCCTCACTGTGCAGAACAAGGAGCTGAGGGAGAAAATACAGGCAAGTCCTCAGCTTGGAAAAGTCTGTCCCTCCCTGCCTCTGGCCCCTGGCCCCTGGTGGCCTCACCGTCTCCTCGCAGGTGCTGGAGAACTACGAGCGGGATGAGAGCAACCCATCCACCCCAGGGGACTTCGTGCCCGCCAGCCTCTACAATGCTCTCCAACGTGAGCTGGAGCAGTTGCGGGCGCAGCGCTTGGAGCCACCGCGGGGCACGGATGCGAGGGACGAGGCTGGTGGGCAGCCGGAGGGGCAGACCGGTGCCTCGGAGCAAACCCCAGAGCAAATTGGGGAGGGGAATGTGGTGCAGCAGCTCGCCGAGGAGCCAGCCTGGACCTGGGGCGAGTGCAAGGCGGCGCTGGGCGAGCTGCAGGTGCCACGCACGCAGACCTCCTCCTCCGCAGCCGAGCGGGAGGCCGGTGCTGAGCTGGCGGAGGCCCGGGCAGCCCTGCGGCAGGCGCAGGCGGCACTGGAGGAGCGGGAGCAGCAGGTGAAGGAGCTGCAGGCCCGTTTGGAGGCTGGTGCGGAGGCCGTGGAGGCGACGGCCTCCCTGGGAGCCTCCCTGGAGGAGGCATCGAGGGAGAAGGAGGCCTTGCTGGAGCGCTGCGGCCGGGCAGAGGCGGAGGCGGAGGCCCTGCGGCAGGAGCTGGAGGCCAAGACGCGGGACTGGCGGGCGGCAGGCGGCCCTGAGCCGGAGGTGCTGGAGCGACGGGTGGCAGAGCTGGTGCGGCAGCACGAGGAGGTGACGGCCCAGCTGGGGCAGCTGCGGGAGACGCTGGGTCGCAGGGAGGCCGAGCTGGGCACCCTGCGGGAGCAGCTGGCCACCCGGCCGGTGGGGCAGCGGGAGCACGAGGAGGCCCTGGCGCGGCTGC